ACAATCTCCTCCTCCTCCTCCTCTCTTCTCATCCTCCTCCTCCTCTCTCTCTCTCTGTTGTGTGTGTGTCTCTGTGTTGTGTGTGTGTGTGTTTTATACTTGGCACACCCATAAAATTCTCAGTAAACCTCTTCACTGCACATCACACCACACATATCGTACTCTGCCCCCCCAGAGAAGCACCAATGGGAATCATCCCCCCACTTGGAGTTGCTACAAATACCCAGGATTGCGGTTCCTATCACATGCGTTTGTTTGTTTTTCCATTGGGCACTATCAAAGCTAGCGGTTCCCGCAACAGCACATTTAAGGTGGCTAGGAACGGTTCAAAGTTTTCTGGCCAAAACGAAAAGCACCACCTTAAAGGTGGCAGGGGGGTGGGACGAATTTGTGGATTTTATTGATTCTGAGAACGTGTACGGAGACGCAGGTCCTTTCATAGCGCGCGACCCTTGAAATATTGCTGCATGAGGCCGCATCTCTGGCTTCGGCTGGCATCGAAAATTATGGGAAAAGGCCTTGAGAAATTGTGAAGGAAAAAAGTCGACATGAACCGCAATCCGAAAGGTTACCGTATGCTAAGAAACAACTCGAGTTGTTTGCTTTCGCCGATCCTGGTTCGCCCAGCGACCGGTACCGGCTGAAATTTCCAAGTGGGCCAGTCACAGCTGTTTTCGTGGATCGCTGGGCGGACTGGGGTGGACCGAAGAATATACTTGGTTTGCTGCTTCCATTCAATTTCCCAGAGGCGATGGCCATAAGTAGGGCCAAGGGTCGCTGCTTCTTGCTTTCCTCGCCTAACAGCTCCAGTACCAGTACTACAACCTGCACGCAAGCTCACCACCCCCATACTACCCCCCCTTCTACTACTACTCGTTTCCACCTTCCACGTTGAAGGTGTAAGACGACCAAGTTGTAACCAACCAGAGCCAAGTTAGGCTTCAAACCGCCCCCCACCACTACTCAACCACCAACCCCCTCCCCAAATCATGGTACGCTCTTACCTCTTTGTGTTCGAGTTACCTCTGAGCTGCTGCTGCTGTTGTCTTGGCTCACCTTTTTGCCCCCCCCCCTCCTTCTACTCGCAGCCCAACTTTTCGCCTGACCAAGTCAGAGAGATCATGGACCGGCAGGACAACATCCGCAACGTGACCGTCATCGCCCACGTTGACCACGGCAAGTCTACCCTCACCGGTACGCCGCACCCTTCTCTTCTTCCTTTCTTTCTTCTTCTACTACTCGCCACTTCAATCGAGCAAACAACAACTCACTATATTACCCTGCGCATGGATGTAGACTCGTTGGTGAGGATGGCTGGCATCTCGTCGAAGAACAGGTTCACCGACGGACTCGAGGCCGAGCAGCAGCGCGGCATCAGCATCAAGTCCACCGGTCTGTCGCTCTACTTCGAGCTGCCCAACGCCGCCGACCAGAAGGCGCCCGCCACTCAGGCGGCGGCGGCCGCCGCTGGTGGTGAGGAGGGCGAAGCCCAGCAGGGTCCTTCCCTCGAGGGCTTCCTGCTTAACCTCATCGACTCGCCCGGCCACGTCGACTTCTCTTCGGAGGTGACCGCCGCGCTGCGTGTGACTGACGGAGCGCTGGTGGTGGTCGACTGTGTGGAGGGCGTGTGCGTCCAAACCAACACCGTGCTCCGGCAGTCCCTGTCGGAGCGCATCAAGCCCGTTCTTGTCATGAACAAGATCGATCGCGCCATC